CTATTGTTAATAAATTATATATTCTGTTGATGTAGACCCTACACTCTATATTGAGCAATTGCTTCTGTCAACATTGCATTGACATTTTATTCAACGAACAACAGTAACAACAACTTGTATTCATATAGCGCCCCTCATGCAGGGTAGCGTCCCAGAGAGCTTAACTGTAAAAAAAAGTGTCACAAAGCTAAACACTTAACACAATTCATTTAGCAAAGAAGGTTCAGAAAGTTGACTAGTAGTTTGCTAAAAGTATAACTACTTGTAGAAACGTAGAAAGTCTATAAGTACTTAGAGACATTGTTTAAACATTATTTGAAGCATACATTACTTCAATCCAATCCCGAATCCCAGCTCGGGTATGAAACACCGACTGTCCAGCGCCTTGGGATGACCTCCCGACGTGTGAAGGCCCGAGCAGGGGGTTGTGATCAGGAGGGGTGGAGGGCACGTGGATAGCAGAATGAGTGGTCAAATAGGGGGTCTTGAATATTGCAGAAGGTCACACATTGTATTTGTTTTGGTTGGTTGAAGAGGAAGAAAGATTTTCAAATCCCTGCAATTTTCTTTATTTGACGGCCTTTACCACGTTCTTAGTATGTTTTTTAAAAAGGAGGGGGAGTATGATTGTGGTATAAGTGTATGATAAAACCCTTTTAAGCACCTTGGGAATGCTGCAGAGAACTATGTTCAGAAGAAGATCTGCAGAGCTTAAATGTATGCAAAGCCTAAGTGAGGCTGTAGCATTTACAGCCTACATAGTTGAAAGCTTTTGACAGCCATATCGCTGTCTCTCTCCCCAGTAAGATCTGAATTATTAAAGCTGCTTTGTTCGTTTTAAATTGAGCCTCTGAGCTGATTACACAAATTTGAATGGTGGGGTAGGAGAGATTTAATTATATTGTGCGGAGCTGGAAAAAATGTACAAAAGATTCCTTGCTACCAGTCCTGCAATGAATGCATACAATTTGACTTAAAATGAGGGAAGAAAATTAAAAGCCCATCAGCTGCAGTGTTACTTTTTTTAAAAAAACAGTTGGATGATGCGTTGGTTGCTACGTATGTCTATAGGTATTGCAGGACAAACAGTATAACTTCAAGCTAGCGTGGGTCCATACCCAGCTGTAATATGCTTAATGTTTTACACTTGATGGGCTTCTCCTGTTCTTGTGTTGTAACTGTAGATGCAGCAAAATTTGCTTAAAGAAATGTTTGAAGATACAAATCAAAGTGAAATGAAACACAGCCACAGCAGACATTCAGCATTTGAAACTGAATGATAGGCTGCCTATTATTTTGGGGAGGGCACTTCACAAGAATTCTAAACCACTGAGTTGAAAGAGCTCTCCACAGACGATTGACGCCAGTAAGACTAGACAAAGATGTTTGCAAGAAGTTCAATTAAATACACAAATGGACATTTAATGTTTCATTAATAGAGTGATGGAAATGGTGTAAAAGTGGTTGTGATACAATTCTAAAGTTAACTGCGTCTGTTTTGTTGAGACTGATTTTCTCTCTGTCTTTGCTTTTGTCTGCCTTCTGAAAGGAAGCAGAAGATTAATTCTGTTTGGATAAATGCTGGAATGTAGTGGCCTTTGTGTGCATCAACCTGCTGCAGCGTGTTTGTCAATGATTGAGTTTCAAGACTCGTTGGCTATATGTCTAGGGAAATCCAGTGCACAGAATTTTTATGACCCCATGTAATATGACAGCTCTGAATGGCAGTATCGGATTCATACAAGGACACTTGTTGTAGATTCGTGGTTGGAGTAGAAGAAAACATATTTAACAGTTGATGTATAGCACACTTTTTGAGAGGAGGCAGAGGAGTAGACATTTTCAGTGACTCAGACTACAGAATATTGCTAGTGTAAATCTTCTAACTGTTTACATTTGGTAACATTTCCCCAGATGTTAAAGGCACTGTTTACATTTGGTAAACAGTGCCATTTACATCTGGGGAACGTCTGAAAGCACTTTTCACAGCTGTCTGGGCACCTGAGTTTCGAAGTGGGGGTTGGGGAGAGAGAGAGAGACGAGGGTGAAGCTGAGGAGGGTGGGGAGTGGGAAAAAAAGTGCAGCGAAAAACGTTAAATCTTAAGACTTTGAAGGCAGAATGGCTGGGCTTAATTGGGTGGGGACACTAACTTGGTTTGTGTTAGCTGAGCAGATCAAGTGCCTAGGCGTTGCAGGAGGTCGCAAAGATTGGGTGGAGGCCTGTCCTACGAGTCCTATTGCCAAGATCACTTTAGGATTAATTGTGGGCAATTTGTGTATTCTGGCTCAGGAACGAGACTACTAACATTGCCACAGAGGATTAACTTTATTCCATTGCTATTCATGTCACCTTGGAGATCCTGCTTTCCTTTTTCTCCCCCACCGAGAATAGTCAATGGTTGGTCATTTGACATCCAACAAGAACACCCTACGAGCTTCCTAGTGAATAATACAGCTCAGCATGAAATGCCTTAAAGCACTGCTACCATCTTCCTGTCACCCCCCCCCCACCACCACCACTGTGAGGGTTCTACAGTTGAAGAATTATCAGTGTTAAACATGAAGAGGAAATATTTTCTGGGAATGAAACACTGACCTAGTATTTTTCTTTCTGTCTTCGCCGCTCTTTTCCTTTTCTCTCTCCTGGGAACCTATGACTCTTGAAACATTTTTGTGTGACAGGTATAACCTGTTGATAACAAGAATACTTTATGCCTAGGGGAGTTAACTATAGGACTACAGAATTCTTTCTATGATTGGAAAGCAAGCCAGTATGATTATAGGATATACTGTAGTGCAGAAGGGCATTTGGTCGCCAGGAATAAATTGCGCTCTATGAAGCATGAAACTAAATATGTTTAATCTCCCTGAAGGAAAAGAAATAGAGTAAGTACAGGGTGGAATCGGGAGCAGATTTAGGGGCCACAGAAGGCAATTGAGGTTATTGCTGTTGTCATTATTGAACACCAAATGGGGGGAAAAAGGTCAATAGTGGATACAGCTGTGTCCAATAACCAATCCTGGAAATATAAAATACTAGAAAGAGATTTTTGAGATGCTGAATTTAAAAATAAAATAAAATGTGGTCACTCAATCCACAACAGTTTGTAGGATACTGCTGTGCGTGTTTGGCTGCCACGTTTCCCCACAAAATGCAGTCAATTCACTTTACAGTATATTCTGTGAAGCTCTTTGAGACATCTGGAAGACTTGATAAGGTAATACAAGTACTATTATTATGATTACCTTTGCTGGTTGCAATGCATGACTAGATTCCACTGGTTGCCTAATGATTTTTTTTCTCTTAATCTTTCAAAAGGGGAGTCCTACCTTGTTTCATAAAAATCTTAACTAAGTGGTAGAAGTTTCATTTTACTACTTTCACTCTATCTCCACACTATGAGATTTATTCTGTGTGGGGTGGTGAGGCATTATGTGCCAATTTATACTTGTACTGTATTGTAACTTCACATCTTTGGTTCATTTTAAATTAAAAAAATGATTCTGGCAGAGGTTTGAGACTGGCAACAGTTTTAAATTATGTGAGACTTTGCTATGATGTTAGTGTGCTTGATGTCTCGAGTGATTTCTGACTGCTCATAATCCTTGTTCCAGTATATCTGAAACCCAATGTATCTCAAACTCTGAGATCAAGTAAGTTTTTGATGAAATGTAAAGTTTCAATTAGTTATTCCATAGTCAATAAACCATTGTGTAAGTGACCAATGTGTTCCATTTGTACTTTGATTTAGCACCCTCTATCTTAATGACCCCTTTTGTCATTGCCTGCAGTTCTTTGTATGGAATGGGAGAAATATTGCTGAAGACTGGATTGGGTATTCAAGTTTCTTAAATTTTTGCAGGATTAATGAGAATAATATTTCTGAATAGATGCAATTGTGTGTTGAAAATGTTAAATATGCATTTGGTCTTCCACCTGCTAATGCAACCTACAAAAACTTTATCAACCTGCCTGCTCCCTCCCCTCAGCGGGCACTAGCCTGCTCCATGTCTCCTGCCCTGCTCACCCCACCTTCAGCTTTTCTGCCCCTAGCCTATGGAACTCCCATCGTAGAATCTCTTCGCCTTGCCCCATCCCTTGCCTTCTTCAAGGACCATCTGAAGACCTTCATCTTGACCATGCCTTCAGTTATCTTCCCATCCCCACCTCGTACCCTCCATCCCTCTTGATTCCAACCCTAGCTCGGGTGCAAACCCTGAACTGTCCAGCACCTTGGGATGTCCTCCCAACATGAAAGGTGCTGTGTAAGTCCAAGTTGTTGCCAATTTTGTAATCTTAAAAAAAAGTTTGATTGATTTATGTAAATCAATGAACATTTTTTAGACTTTTTGAATTGCAAATTTATAGCATTGCTAGGTTGACTGTTGTCTGTTATCTACCCCATTCTTTTACTGTCTTATCAAGGCACATGCACGTAACTGTAATGATTTGAAATCTGACTACGCTTTTGTGGTGGACACAGTGATCAAATAGCTGTTTGCAAATCATGGTTAATTAAAATAATGCTGGGATTATACATCCAACAAATTGACTGCAGATTTGCACGTGTGACATAATTACTCTTTGTAATGGGCATGTGTGAATTTATGTGCACAAACTTGTTTATGCCATTAATAACGTTATATGTATAACACTAATTATCAGTTTAGAAAAATGAAATATGTACAGTGGAACCTTTTCCTCCGATTTATGAATATGGCCTCTAGCCTTTGCAAGCTGTCATTGAATATGATTGGACTTGAACCATTGCCATGCCCTAAAACTGTTTACCCACATCATTGGGTGCTGGTGAATAACTGCTCTGTGATGGGTTTCCATCTTAAATTAGTGTGCAGAAAACAGTCAACTTGTGGCCGGTTTACACATTTTTGAATTGGGCAGTTTGGGTAGAGAAATTGAAAATAAGTCATAAGAAAAATAAGATAAATTGAGAAGTAAATTTTTTGAATTTGATAATTTTTTGTGTTTTCAACTGCAGGTTTTCGGGATGAAAAAGCAAATTCAGATTTCCCTTTTCCAGTAATTGAAAGGATGAATGTTTCTTTGGCCATTGCCTCTGTAGCTTAATGACGGTACTAGAGATGGTCTATTACTGAAGTGGAAAAGGTAAGTTTTTTTTAGGTTTGCAAGTTAAGCGTGAAAAACACGAATAGGAAATAAGGTGTCTTTCGATTTACACCCAGCATTTGCCTTTCATGATTTGCAACTCAATTCTTCACATTAAATATTAATTTCAAAAAGGGTAATATAACTGTTCAGGAAAATCTACATTTTTTCTGTTTAGTTTTAAGGGTGTTTGCTGCAACACAGAATTTTGTTACCTGTTTTTGCACAAATTTTAACCACAGGTATTAACATGCTACAGTGTGACTTGCTATTTAAATGTCGTACATCAGAACAGGATTATTTCATAGACTCAAACCTTTGATTGAATTCCCTCTAAAATTATGGTGGGACTGAAAGCTTGTTAGCCAATTATGGAACTTGGGGAAAAGAATACAGATTGCAAAGTTCTGGATGCTGTGGAGAAGCATGGTTTTGGAAAAGTTGAGTCCGGAGGCGACAGAGGCATAAATAAGGGGCTTCTTAGGGAAAACCCATTCCAGTCTGAGCCTTTTTCCTCCTTGTACAAACTTTCCAAATACCAAATTATGAACTGTTTTAACAGAATTGGAGCTTGAAATCTTTATTTTTTTCTGTACATTGTTTGCAGTGATCAGTTCTACCTGTGTGAAGCCAATCAATCTCCTGTGGTGGTGAAGACATGGCTACCATTAATTGAACGGCATGGTTTCCCTGCTGTTGGTTCTGTGTTTTTCTCTCCTTGAGGGGAATGAGGTTTTTGAATACAATACTTGTTTTTAAAAAAGCGAGATAAACTGAATGGAAGATAAACTATGAGGCGTTTTAAAAGACAAAACATGAATAACCGTAGTTAGAATACACTAGTTAGAAGAAAACTAATTGTTGTGAAGAAAAGGGGAGAAAATATTAAATTAGTTACCGCAGCATATCTGGAATAATTTAATTAAGTAGGCAAGAAGATTGGAAGGGTTTGGTTCACTAATGAGTATCTACCAACTTAATACTGACGTGGACAACATGAACCAAACAGATACTGAAAACGGAGACAGACTTGGTTCATGAATTAAGCAGCTTTCTGCCTCTAACTGCATCTGGGTTTGATGGTCTGTGCCCTGCACCGCCACTATGCCTCGCATCTCACTTACAATTTCTATTGTGGTGCTAAACGACCTGGTTTCCCAGTGTCAGGCTCAGCAGCTGCATTGTCTTCTCCACAACAACCTGAACCTTTCATGTGGCTAGGCCTCAGGGGCAAATTGAGCTGTAGCTTTTATATCACCTATCCTTTGCCATCTCATGTACAGTCCAAAGTCCTTTTGGCAAACCCTGGGTTTGCTCAGTTCCTAAACAGCTGGCCCCAAAGTGTATTGCAATCCTTCTTGGTGTCCCTTGTGTTTTTTTGTGGTACTGTTGCAAGACGGAATACATGGATTTGTGTTGCTTTGGGGATTTAAGTCTCTTTAGAATAGATCTGTTTATAAAGTGCTTCAGACAAAATTCAGTCTCTTGATAACTTGGCCTACGTCTTCTGTGGCTTTCCCTAACGGTGACAGCACTTGGACAACCAGCATGTTCAACCAGTTCATATATTCTCTAGATGGATCCTGAATCCATGCATTTTGTATTTGACGGGAGAATGAGTTTAGAAGAATTCACAATTTAGTTTTAAATATGGGTGTTTCAGAACAGTTACAGGAATGTTGAAAACTGCTGACAATGATGGTTGCTATTGGTGGCAGTGCTATAATGTAAAATAGAATCAAATTCATTTTGTCATTTCTAGCTAATATTTAGCTTTCTTTTCAGCACAATCTGTAAATATCTGAGCACGTAGGGAATCACCGAATGCAGGAATGGACAATTGCAGAAATATTGCATCAGTTGCAACACTGATGGTGGTTTATGGAAATTAGATTGAAAAGTACTCAGTCTGGATCAGTAACTCAACGTGCTTAAGGGTTGAATTCCCACTGCTGTTAAACTTTCACTAGTTATGTTCCATAATATAATTTCACTAGTAATGCCATAATATAAATTGTTGCAAATCTAATTTCAGAATTTTTTTTCAACAGTTTCCTTTCATTGTTTGTTGCACACTTAAGAACATTGGGAGTGTGAAAATAGCTGAGTTGTATAATTTGAAAGATTACTGAAACAAAACCATTTGCCTGTGGCCTATTAATCTGTAGGAACATAGGGTACTGCCAGTTTTTGAGAGTACAGATTTGCTCAATGTAACAATAACAGGCATTCAGATTGCTTTGAGGGCAGAGGTTTGTAACCCATCATGGTTCTGAATTATGTCCTTGTCATCTTTGAAAGAAATTGCTTGTTTCAACCTTTGAATTCTATGTTATGAACTTTGACTGTGTGTGTAAAAAAAAGCTTGATTTGCAAGTTTATCTTGCATCATTCCTTTGTAAAAGCACCATTCAATAGACAACATCAACGACAAATTGCATTTATACAGCGCCTTTTATGTCAGGAGGTTGTCCCAAGGCGTTGGACAATGAGGGGCTTGCACCCGAGCTGGGGGTTGAAAGACATGTTTGATCTTCTCTATTTCCAAAGCATTTATGTCTAATAGATTTTGGGTGTAAAACAAACTTTACATACAGAAAGGTGAGGATAATGTACAAACTGCAAGTTGTATTGTGTGCAGATTTATTTTACCGTGTCTGACTGGTCTCCTGATATTTAGCAGTCAGAACAGATGGAGGTTGAATCATTGATGTGTGAATTCTTGACACTACAGGTAAATAATTTAATTGCCTCTCAACCAGTATTGATATTGCATCATGAAAAAAACCTCTCTGAAACCAAAATATCCTTTGATGCTTCAAACTGTCTCAACTGTTGGTCAAACCCACTCAAGGGTTGTTTTTTTCTACAATGTAGGAATGTGGGATACCTGCTCGGGAAATGAATATAGGATTGATTGGAAAAAACCTGTTTGAATGATATATAAAAGTATTCTAAAACAGCACGGAGCATCAGATCCAAGAACATCCTACAACTTAGTTTGGCAATTATTAGAATGCTGCTAACTCATGGGTTGAAAGATGATGTTATGAGTTGTGCTTATAACCCAGCTATGTTTATATTGGCATCCATTCCCACTTCCTTTGCCGTGACACTCATGATTTCTTTCAGTTGTGTGAATTTCAGGTACAATGCAAATGCCAAGATTTTAAATTAAAATTTTTCATATTTTGTTGATGATGCACCATCATTTTCTACACCTGAAATATCTTCTCTTATATAAGTAAGGAAACAGGAAATGTGATGCGAAGAGATTGGGAGCATTCCAGTTCTGTAGTATAATTGACTGTCTATTGACTAGAATTCGTGATCTCATTCCTTCACTGAACAATACGTAAGTGGTGGAATAGTGATGGGAGTTTTGCAGATTAAAAATTGGATAATGTAAAAATAGTGCTTTTTTATTCTTGCAATTGCTAGGTATATTTATTTTGGGGTTCTACACTGAGTAAATTGAAGTTTTTGATGTATTACAGTTGAATTTGATTGAGCTTTACTACACATTAGGGTTGGCAAATTGTTTTTGGTTAAAGAAAATGCAGATTTCATTGAGAAAGAATGAATTCCCAAGGGATATTGTTGACTTTCAATAGAATTTAATTGTTAGAGTATTGTCAATAGCTGTCAAGATGCTACCTAGTTGAGGACTCTAAACATGACTTGTGTTATATGAAAAATGTACAGTAAACTCCTGTTAACTCCACCCTGGGTTAATTTGTCACTACCACTTAAGTCATCATGCTGTCAATATCCCGGCCCCATTTATTTATGCATTTGAAAATAGATCCAAACTTTTAAAAAAAAAATTGAGAACTATTTGTCGGATAAAAATACTCCCTTTACCTCTCTTTATCACTCACTCCACCCTCCTTCCTATACATTTTTTTAAAGCATGTAGCACTTAACTAGTGCATTCTAGTATAGAACTATTTTTAGTTTGCCTCAGAGTACGTTAGTATGTGAGGAAGCCTGATAATGGTTTGTCTCTAAGGGGAAGGGAAGCAAAATCGTAGATACTAAATATATGGATGAGAGAGGTACTTTATACTGAAAGCTTCTGCCCATTTTTGTTTTATCTGAGGTCATTATGGTCCTCTAGTATTGGATCATGCATCTCTAATTCATCTGCAGTTCTGTTGCTGAAAGCAATGTAGAATGGCGGGATTGATCTTTCTGTTTCCCACTCCACGTTGTATTGGGGCCATTTGTAACACAAGGAGTGATTTGTGCCGACTCCATCTCCCAATTTAGACCACACATTCTGTAGCATTCTCATCTTGCAAAGGCTTTCATAGCTCCAAGGAGTTTTGGTATAGTTCCACTTTTTCCATTGGGAAATAGTTCCTCAATTAGTTTTATTTCAAAGCTGCATTTTCTTATCAAATTATAAATATTATATTAAAAAACATCAACCGAATGCTCTTAAGAAATACTCAAGGCCAGGGTTGAGCATGTATTATTCCAGGGTGAATTCTACTCCTACTACTAACCAAAAATTCTTTAATTGAATTGTTCTAACATGTGCAAAATTATCAAAACCATCAGCATTTTAATATCTTCAAACCAGCTTTTGTTTTATACATCTCATTTATAAGTGCCACATTCCTTGAATTGTGGAAAGATTGTTAGAATTGGCACAATTACAAAGCTTAAATTGTCGTAGAAAAGAGACAGCAGTAATAGTTGTAATATTTGAGATTTAAAATCAGCCCTTGCAGCTGAAATCTCAAATTCCTTTCTATGGTTCTTTCTGCAGCAGCACTTTTTTGCCTGTAAGTGAACCTCTTGTCACCGTAGCAGATTCAATTTATCAAGCATAAAGGAAAATCAGTTAATGTGTATGTTTGCTAATATTTGTAGGTTGAAACTTAATACAATGTCCAGAAATAACCGTTTTAATTTTGTCAGGCGGCCACAGTTTAGCATGAAATTATGCTCCAATAAGCTTTTACAATAACAATCACTCAATTGCAGAGCACTGGTTAGAAAATGTTATTGCTCACTTGTCGGCAGCTGCCACAGTTTGGAGTTATTATTTGTGCCATTAGCAAAGATTTTAATAACCGTGCCCATCTGGTGATTAGATTTATTCGTCCGTACCTTAAATGGACTTGTAATTATGACAGTAATTTTCACAGAGGCTGTTCATTGTTCAAGTGATGTGCCAAGTAACTAGCTATGGGAAACAGACTGGGTCCCATGAAATTCATTCGCTGTTAGAACATCAGATGTTAACAGAAGCCTACAGTGGCAGACCTGTGCAGCTTTGCTTCAGCATTTACAAATAATTATAGGAATTGGTTGATTGGTTGAGGCCTACATGTAATACTTGTCCACAAACACTTGACTAATGACCTTTAGGCATAGAGCGACCTGTACTGTAGCCAGGTTGATTTCGGTAGTTGTACTCTTGTCTGTGGGTCAGAAGGGGTTGATTCAAGTCTCAAGTCTAGACTTGAGTTCATGATAGTCTAGGCCAGGGTGGTCCAACTGGCGGCCCATGGGATGCATCTGGCCCTCAAGGGGATATTAGCCCTGCCCTTGTCATTTCCATCTGGCCCACCCACTTCCTCCATAACTCATATATGTTATGTTTCTGGAAAGCAAACACAAAATTATTGCTTATGTGGCCCACAGATGTTTCTCAAGTAGGGCATCTGACCCTCAGCAGCCAAAAGGTTGGACCACCCTGTACAAGGCTTTCAGCTCAACACAATTATTTATACAGATCCTTTTAAGTTGCTTCACACAGTTGACTGACAGGCCAAGCCAGAGGGTTGGTGGAAAGTAGTGCAGTACTAGGGAAGCTAAATTGAGCTTCTGAGCGTTTTAAGATTTTTTTGACACTATTAGAAAATTACTGTCTTAAATTCAATATATCTGTTTGTAACATGCATGTTTGTCGTTGTGCTTGTTCTCTTGGACTTGTTCTATCTTGTTTCCATTGTTTGAAGAAGGTATATTTTATAGAAAAACAATTGATTCTATCAATTGTTGATAGAATAGGTTAATAATCCTAACAAAACGTTAAATACTGTAGATGCTGGAAATCTGAAAACAAAGCAAAAAAGTCGCTGGGAACACTCAGCAGGTCAGGCAGCCTCTGTAGAGAAAGGAAAGCTTGGCAACATTTCGGGCCCATGACCCTTCTGTTCTGATGAAGGGTCGTGGACCCGAAACGTTGACTCACTTTCCTTTCTCCATAGATGCTGCCTGACCTGCCGAGTGTTCCCAGCGACTTTTGTTTTCAGGTTAATAATCCTATTGTGCATCGTCCACAACATCATCAAAACAAGGGATACAGAACCATGTTGAATTTTCAAATTCTGACCTGTATTTTGTGAACATAATGTAAGTTACCGTCAGCTAAAACTTACTGAGTAAAGTTTTGTTGTTGTAGTGAAGTGTAGTACTCGAATAAAACTTCTCCTTCTATTTTCCCCTCCCAACCCAAACCATACACGTCTTCTCCAATCTGACACATCCGATTACTGTTTTGGCAATGGATTTGTATTGTAAACCCAGGGATGTAAATCCACTTCCACTGGGTTATGACATGAACATTATTGCATCTACATTGAAACAAGGCTGCCATAAATTATTACTTTAATTTTTCTGCTCTAGTAAGAGGTAATGAATGTTTCAGTAAATTGAGAGAATTTTACAGCTTGCATTTACATAGCCCCCATTATGCAGGGTAGCGTCCCAGAGCGCTTAAAAACTGGTTGCAAAATAAGGGGCTCTTGTCTCGAACCTAAAATTTGTAAATTTTGGAAAGGCATTCTTCCTCCCAGTGCATCAGGAGCCTTGTCAAGATAAGGCCAGCCTCTTATCTTTCATCTCCCCTATCCCTGGGTCAGACACATTGCGTGGGTGTGCGGTAAGTGGAACAGGCTGTATTAGAGCAGTGATGACCTCCAAATGATAACACCCAATTCATAAGCGTACTGCTGGACAAGTATTAAAACTAATATGATCATTTTCAATGATGCCGTAACAGACTGCAAGCAAATGATAAATTTGTTTCTTGTATGCTTTTCCAAAATGCCCAATAACTTTCCATTGTGTAGAATTTCTTATTTGGTGTGACCTAGTTTTCAGACCAAAGTGCTATGTAAAATTCCATTAGTTTTCAAAGGTGATTGCACTGAATCTTGTGCAACTTCACACGCAAACATATTAAATCAAGTCTTCAATTCTTCTCAAGTTGTGTGCTTTTCCTAATGGACCCCTGCAACAAACTGACAAAATAACAATGGTTCTTTTAACCTGTTTGTATCTGGGTTTTCATGAGCTCTGCTTCTCCTCACCTCCACTTCTCCTCACCTCCACAACATTGCCCATCTCTACCACTACCTCTCACCTAGGCTGATGAGAATCTCATCCAATGCTTCATCACCTCTAGGCTTGATTACTCCGTCACAAACTCTACATACAGCCTGTGAAATTTATATTTACTGGAATTTGTTTAAAACTGGCATTCTATCTAAATATATTTAGCAGAAATTGTTCAATCCATAATTAGCAATTTAGATTTTTGCAATCAAATATTTGAAAGTGCATCAGTATCTGCACCTTGATGGTTAGTTAGCATCCATCATTCACTTCAGGAGGGAATAATCAATGGATATGATTTATGTTGCCTCCAAAATGGGGGGAAATGTGTTGCATTCCCTTTGAATGTAAAGTTTCAATTATGAAGTTAAGAAAAATCTCCCTCGAAAAAGCCCCCTCGAGCACAAGCTAATTTGCCTTCAGGCTATGTTTTGTAGATGTATCTAAAGAATTACATAGAATAAGAGAGTGTATATTTCACTACTTTTATTATTGTTATAATGTTATTTAAATGAGAAAAGTGTCGGGGGGCATGTTTGACGAAGTATTTTATGATTATTGGAGTAAGGCAGTTTCTCAAGTACGGCTTTGTTTTGAATGGGAAGGTTTATTTTGTAGTGATGCTAATGTTACTTTCCCAAAAAAAGGTGATTTTTTTTAATCCATTGACTGCATATTTTTTTTTGTTCCTAGGTATGGTGTGAATATGCGTTGCTTGGCAGCTCGAGTTAACTACAAGACTCTCATTGTCATCTGTGCCCTCTTTACACTGGTCACAGTTCTGCTGTGGAACAAATGCTCAAGTGATAAAGCAATCCAATTTCCAAAAGATCTGAGCAATCTGGAGGACCTATTCAGGGGAGAGGGTCTGGAGAAGCGCGAGGTTAACTCTGAGAGCAACGATGATGTAAACAGCCTCATGCAAGTTGGGAAACCTCCACCGAAGCAGCTGTCAGAAGATGTTTTGCGACAGGAACAACAGAAGGCCCCTCCTATAGTTGGTCTTGGCCTCCTAAATAACAATGCCAACAAAATATTAGGGCCTAAATATGAGGAGATGGATTGCTTAATAAATGATGAGACCATCATAAAAGGGCGGAGAGAAGGCAATGAAGTTTACCTGCCTTTCAGTTGGATTGAAAAGTATTTTGAGGTTTATGGAAAGATTGCCCAGTATGATGGGTACGATCGTTTTGAATTTTCCCACAGTTACTCAAAAGTATATACTCAGCGAGCGCCTTACCGCCCAGATGGAGTATTCATGTCCTTTGAAGGCTACAATGTAGAGGTCCGAGACCGTGTGAAGTGCATCAGTGGCATTGAAGGTTGGTTTTCTTACACCATTTTTTACCACGCTTTCTAAAAAAAAACCTTCAAAAATAATTTCTCAAATGTTATCATTTACCAACATTACATGTCCAGTTTCTAGTCTGTTAAAGGTACTAGGTTAGGGATAGGAGTAGTTTTGTTAATGTACCTAGCACATTGATATGACTGAGCTAACTGGCTAGTTAGGAGAAGGAGTAAATATTAGTTTTAATCAAACTAGTTTATCATTGAATTAATATATAGAACAGTAGGTGGCTTGGGGTGTGTTCCGTTACAATTGAGGCCTAAATTGGCTCACAGTTTATAAGGCAGCACTGCAATGGATAATGTGGTCCCAGCTGAATGAGCAGCCAGAAGCTTACCAGTGCTTCAAATTAGTAAGCTGCCAGTTCCAGCAGTTTGGAGTCCCTAAAGCCTTGGGCTCATCCAACCCTGCTTGTCTTCCTCCAACAGAAGTGAGACGTATATTTTTCTCACCACAGCTTTCGGTTGCAATCTTACTCATGTGATTGCATGAGTATAATGTTATTCTTGACATGTTAAATAGTCTAACCTTTCCTTTTTAAGATTTTACATTAGTTTGGGTATTAATGAATTATTCTTTAAAAATAGTGTATTTGAAACCGTACTAATTGAAGATTTACTCTTTCCTCCTCATTTATCCCTTGTTACGATGTTGATCATTGTTCTAGCTTGGTATGTGCACTTGCATTTTACCAACCAATCATACACCTATTGCCCCTATCGTCACTAAAGGGAATGCTAAGTGGTGCAAAATTGCCCACAAAATACACAGTATATTCTGAGAAGTGTTTTGAGACGACTCAACATGACCGAGGTGATGAGCCGCTATATCAAATGCAAGGATTGTTACTATAATTTCAAGACTGGCTTGTCTTTTCATATCACAACCTGAAGACCTTCCTGTTTGACCGTGTCTACATTTACCTCTTTTTCCCTCCCCTACCCCCCACCCACCCCCAAGCTCAGTTTCAAGCTCTGCCAATGTTAACCCTTTGAGACACTACCCCACGTGAAGGGTGCTACATAAATGCAAGTTGTTATGTTGTCTGGAATCCATTATTTTAATATGTGGGTGAAATTGTTGATTCCTGATTGAGCTTGATGCAGTACATTGCAAGCTGTGGAATGGCTAAGGTATGGTCAATGGACTGTTCATGGTCATTCAACATTTTTCCAAACAAATCGCTGAATAGTAATAAACAGATGGAGTACAATGAAATACTTATTCTGAAAATGGAAATGAGATTTGCTTCACACAAAAGTTTTCTTACTGGGTGAAAACTATGAATATTAAGTAGTGGAGAATTTCTTTCAAAAAGCAATTTGTAATGGTGTCAATTGAATATGTTGACTCTCATCCAAATATATTTGTTTGGGTAAAGCTGTATTTTTCAAAGGATTTGATAGCATTTGTTCTTTACAGAGTTCCCTGAGGTGCCATTTATTTCTGAAGTGGTAGTGTGATTAGAATTAGTGGGTTCTGACATTCCAAATTTGCCAAATCAATTTAATTATGGTTTATCTTCAGGTTATTATGATGTAATGATGACATACCTCCCTTAATTGGAAAATAAATATTAATTTAGCAAGTGACCATGTGAAATGGGTCTCCTGGCATTCTGTTTGACCCTAACCTGAGTTTCAAACTCCACATTCGTCCATGTGCTTTTTAGAACTGGTTAGTATTGAAGCTTTTAATAAATAACTACTGTAATGTTTAACAAACAAATGTGGTACACCCGTGTCACTTGGTCACACTAATAGTTATCAAGCCTTATCACGTCAGGTGATGTTTTAATTCTGCCACATGTACATCCCAAATCCCTTTTGAGCTAATGGTGCTGACCTGATTGTCTTGAGCTGTTTGACATCAAATTAGTCTCACCAAAATGTGTTGCATGTAAAGTGACTTCAAGCCCTTGTGACTCGAGCTGAGTACAGTTTATGACTGGTGCATTTGAAGTGGCATATTTATGATTGAATGATTACAGCGATATGCAACACACGTGATATTTTTCAGTCATTCATAATGGATGTTGATAATGTTTTTAGAACTATATTGCTTCAATACTCAGAAATAACTTCAGAATTTGGCAAGAAATGTAGCTGCATAATTCCAATTTCTTTTAAGATGCTGAATATTTAATCTTGCTAAATTACAAGCACAAATGGGGGGTTTGAACTTGGCCTTTAAAAGGCCAAGAACAACAATTTGCATTTATGTAGTGCCTTCCGCATGGGCAGGGCAGACTTCTTAATGTGATTCACACAGCAATCACACTGGGAGTCCTAGCTCGGCAGGGAGGTGGTCAAAAGAACAACACTGCCGAGCCATCAGGGAGCTAAGAGAGCTGTCTTTAAATAGAGGAACTGATCTATTAATGTGTTGAATTGAAATAGAAGAACCTCATCCATTATCTCGAACCCAGACACTGATTTTGTAGTTTGATTGAATAGTTCGGAGCCCTGCAGCTGCAAGTTCTGAATTCGAGACTGAAATACAAATCTTTGTAAACACGAGCCCCCACAAAAGCTGAACCCCACCGTTCTAACCTGGCCTGTACATTGCTGTGACCCTATTAGCAGGATGTTGTTGTATAACGACAGATTGGGATCAACTAATTTAATGTTTCAGTGACTGAATCATGCAAAGGTTGAAGGAGAAGTGTATTGTGGAACAGTTATTTCCTAGACGTATGCTGCACATCAAAATTCTGCTATTCTCGCAGTGTTTGGGTCATAGATTTCTCTTTCACTGCAGATTAACTGACTGCTGTGTGCTGGCTGCTGATATCACTCCATGTCGAGGAGCAGAAAAGTCTTGCAATCAGCAAAAACTCTATTTGGACACGGCACTGTATAAGTTCTGGTTTCAAATCCCTCAATCCAGTAATGGGTGCAATTTCCTCTTGTAATGAAATAACAGTCTTGTTAATTCAGGAAATTGAGTCCTGCGTGCAGTGGGTAATGATCAAACCTGACAATCCTGTAGACTGTCAACACTTCAATAAAATGTTTGGAATGAGCATTTTGTAAAATGCTAATACTGATTTAAGGTGGTTTCAGTTCATCTTGGCAGTTTAAATACTGTCATTTGGAAAGTAATACCTGGATGAAAATGCCATTAAATCTGAGTTTTCCAGCACCCCCACCACACTTTCTGCCTCATTGCCATCTGTTATAAAAATAGTATTTTCAGCAGAATTCCACTCCAGGAGCAGTATGCAAACGTATAGGCCCGTTTAACACTTGTATAAACTGTAACTAAAATTTTATGACTGCATCAGGAATATATACAAGCTTAAGGTGCCTGTCTCAAATATTTGACAACTTAAGCATTATCGTGATGTGGGTTTCCAAGTGTAAATGTGGCAGCATTATTGATGCTCAATCCTATGCTGAAGAATGTTTAAGGTCAGCATTGGGATAATTTGAATGGCTCTCCAGTTGTGTTGCTTGCTTCTATGTGCAGCTTCAGTGTCTGACTGTGATCTCAGGATCAACCCCAAAAAGAACAAGCCGTCATATATACAGCTCATGCTTGATTGGGTGTTTGTGGTGTCAACCTAGCTCGTCGATTGTAGAATATATAACCTTTAATATCTCACTAGTTTGAGGAGATTGTTAGCTCTCCTTGTAATGTGTGTAATACTAGTGGGGGAGGACTTACTTGCAAAACATTTAATCTAATTGGCCACAATGCTTTATACTGTACTGTGCAGTCAAACTAGGCCTTTAGGTCACTTTCAGTAACTGGCTGTTTTAACTTTAATGTCTCGTTTTATCCTAATTCTCTGATTCCTTAATGTAATAGAATATAATTACTTGATTCATTAGCCATCTGAAACCTAATTCCAGTTGAAGTGTAAAGTTGTTTACTGTTGATTTATGCAGCGAGGAAACTTTCCAAGTCTTCATTTTGAGCAACCAATTTGTATTGACCACATGTAAATGGAGACTTGTTTCCATTGAGGTGATACCCACAAAAATAAAGTCAATTTACTTTACATGAAGCTCTTTGAAATGTCTTTAAGATGTGATAAGGTGCTATCAAATGCAAAGATTATTATTATGAGGGCAGGTGGATCTGGATGTGTTCACCTCTCATGAACAACAGATGTCCATTGCAGCTGGTAGACTGAAATGGAAAGAAAATGTTCACAAAAATGTATTTGAATGTCTGATTTAATAGCATCTAAAAGGAAGGCAACTGCACACTTTCTTTGAATATGGCACTTTTCTCATGTAATATAAGACTTGTGGAAAGTATCAAACTGTTTCAAAAGGACATTGGCTTTCTGGCATGAGTTGTAGTTTCCTTGGGCCCCAAATCTACACTAATTAATTTGTTTATTTTCTATAGGTCTTTATCCTCGGTGGTGTTTTGGTCACTTTAAGTCTAACTTGTTTTGTGTTTCTCTTTAGGTGTGCCTTTGTCTACACAGTGGGGTCCTCAAGGTTATTTCTACCCTATTCAGATAGCACAATATGGGTTAAGTCACTATAGTAAAAACCTCACTGAGAAACCACCGCACGTTGAAGTGTACGAAACCGCAGAGAAAAAAGATAAAGGCTCCAGAGCAAGTGACTGGATTGTGCCCAAGGGTAGCACTGTTTCTACAGTCTTTGACAAAGCCAGATCCAGCAACGTCAAGCATTTCAGCACCTCAGGTATTTTATTTCACCGATCATGAACAAATCGGATAGATTTCTGTTAGAAAATAATATCTTGGGATACAGTATATAGTTTGGGATACGGCCTGTCAAGTGACTGCCAGGATGGTGGAAGGCAAACTAGATGGACCTTGGTCTTCTTTCGCCCAGTAAATTCTTGTGTTCTATTACTTGTTAGATCTGATGTCTAACTAAAGAAAGACAATGTGACTTCTAATATTGTAAAGCGAGAACGAGTTGGATCGTGAAGTCTCGATATTTAAAAATAATTTCCAGATCCCATAGCTTTAGGAAAATCTTATAGCGGAATGTCTTAACTAATGAATTTTTAAAAATCATATTGGGGAAGTTAGCAAATACAATTTAAAAAAATGTAATTTAAAATCAATTTTTTGGCAAACAAATTTCCAAACTGTCCAATCTTTCAACAATATTTGTTGCTGAGTTTGGGAAATGGTTATAGCCATGAAAAATGTAAATATTTTACTATCGTTATTTTTTAGTGTTATTTCACATCATTGCTTGCATGTTTAAACAAATTAAAATTTAAAAAAACTTAAAAAGTTTTTACAAGTTCGTCCTTTCTTTTCAGAATCTTCAGAGGGAGTTTCTTTGGTGCTTGGTAACATGAAAGATTTTATAATTTCCTTTGATATTAAGTTCTTGACAAATGGGAGTGTTTCAGTGATGCTGGAAACAACTGAGAAGAATCAGATGTTTACAATTCACTATGTGACAAACACACAACTTATCGCCTTCAAAGATGGAGACATTTACTACGGCATCGGCCCGCGGACTAGCTGGAGCACTGTTACTAGAGACCTGGTGACTGACCTGAAGAAAGGAGTTGGTTTGTCCAACACCAAAGCGGTAAAGCAGACTAAAATCATGCCCAAGAAAGTGGTAAAGCTGGTGGCTAAGGGGAAAGGCTACATTGACAACATTATTATAGCAACAACAGCACATATGCCAGCCTTCTTCGCTGCCAGTGATTGGCTGGTTAGAAACCAGGATGAAAGGGGGGGCTGGCCAATTATGGTGACCCGGAAGCTAGGAGAAGGTTTCAAGTCTTTAGACCCTGGCTGGTATTCAGCCATGGCACAAGGTCAAGCTATGTCTACACTTGTAAGGGCCTACCTGCTTACAAAGGAGCAGGTGTACCTCAATTCAGCCCTGCGGGCCATAGCACCCTATACCCTGAAGTCACAGGACCATGGCGTAAAGGCCGTGTTTATGAATAAATACGATTGGTATGAAGAGTACCCAACTTCTCCCAGCTCTTTTGTTTTAAATGGTTTCATATATTCTCTGCTGGGTCTGTACGATCTGAGAGAAACTGCAAGCGAGAAAGTGGGACAAGAAGCAAATAAACTGTACGAGCGAGGCATGGAGTCTTTGAGAGCCATGCTTCCACTGTATGACACTGGCTCAGGTTCAATCTATGATCTCCGCCATTTCATGCTGGGTACAGCTCCCAACCTGGCCCGCTGGGATTACCACACCACCCACATCAACCAGCTCCAGCTGCTGAGCACCATCGAGGACGCACCAATCTTTAAAGAGTTTATGAAGAGATGGAAGACGTATTTAAAAGGAGGGAGGGCAAAGCACAACTAGAGCTGAAAGCCAAATTATAATCTTATGAAACGTACATATAATATATAAGGGAAGGTCCATTAATTTAAACACTTTTATAAGGAGTGCAGGTTGTACCTTTTTTTTCTTTAATCTCTGTCATTTTACAGGTAGAATGTCATTTTGTAAACGGAATGAGTATTACCGGTATCTTACAGAATTACTCTTGATTTAACATGCTTTTTACTTTCTGTTGAATTAATGGAAGTGGGGACACAGTCATTAATGTTTGTGTTGAGGACTAATAGTGTGTGTGCGCGTTAATTGAGCTCTCTCACACTGACTGGCAAATGAATTCTTTCAAGATTGTATTCCTTCCCCCTATTTTACATACTTTTCCTCATTTCTGCCCTTTATTATTTGTGTGTGAACGGAGGGGGCTATCAATATCTGTTATCTTTGTATCAGATCTCTCTATTCAAACACAATTTAAAAATATCCATACACCTGGTGTTTCACCAGCCGGACTTGTTTTCTGTTCAGAGAGCCTGTATCCTTGTGTCTGGCCAACTTGGCACCTGTAATTATGTATGAAAACAACAACAAAATTGCATTTTTACCGCACCTTTCACGCTGGAAGGACATCCCAAGGTTGTGGACAGTCAAGGGTTTGCACCCGAGCTGGTGATCGGAATTATGATGGGTGGAAGAGGAGGCGGAAAGGGAGGGGACAATGTGGATGGATTCTGGTATGTTAGTTCCAGATAGTGAGGGCAGAAAAGCTGAATGCCCAACCACCAATGGTGGGACGGGCACGATGGGGGACATAGAGCGCAGGTAGACAGTGAACTGCCTCATGTCCCCCGCCCTGTCTGCCTCACCATTAGTGGTAGATTCTACTTTTAAGGAAATTGTGAATGACCCCCAAGGTGGTTTGTAAACGTGTTCTCTTGTGTAAGTAAGAATGATGTTGTTCTGAGAATTGCATCAAATTTCATGTTGGTCATCTGCATTGAACACAGAATATTTTTCCATAATTGAGTCCTTTTAAAGCTTGTAGCTGATTTGGGTTTTAATGCACATGGCAAAGCACAACAACAACAACAAATTAACTAAAATGTAACTGCACAAGTTTAATGTATAGTACATGTATAGTGGATGTTTTATATATAACAAAAACTTGCATTTATATATAGTGCCCTTCACATGGGCAGCATCTTGGCATACAACAAAAATGGTGCATCCAATATCAACTGGGATCAGTTCATTACAAATGACTCCTAATTAAAGCCTGATTTTTAAATATATATATATTTATAGGTGTTGCCTTTATTTGCCATTTGTCAAGTTAGGAAGTAAAAGATTACAGAGAGGAAAAAAGATGTTCAGCTGGCATTTTCTTTAAAGCCACTTGCACAAGTGTTCTTCTCCCTCTTTGCCCCTCTCCCCCACTCCAAACTGATGTTTGCTTAAAACTTATGACTCCTAAGCTGAAGCAGCCATTTTGCTAAAGTAATGATGCCCACGAGATTCAATCACAGGTGAGTCCGTTTGGAAATAAAATGACTTCCAAGTCGTCTGTTATCATTTTGCCTAATTCTCTGGGTTTGGGCCTTTTTGCTTTTCGTTCATTCAGTAATGTTTGTCTTTGTTTGTTCACCACTGAGAGAAATGTTTACTGTGTAAAGAATTATAAGAAACTAGACAATCTTTTTTTTAATCATCTGTCTGTATGGTCGCCAACTTTGCTGGCTGAGAGTTGCCCAGTCTTTAAACTGCCCGCCCTTGTGAGGGTCACTGCCCACAAATCCTAATGCTGGTTTAAGCTACAATCAACCAGAGAATATTTGTAGGTAGAGATAAAAACAGAAGTCACTGGGAACATTCAGCAGGTCGGCAGCATCTATGGAGAGAGGAGTGTGGGTCAGTTCTGCTTGTGACAAAAGGTCATTGATCTGAAATGCTAACCCACTTACCTCTCTCTATAGATGCTGCCTGACTTGTTGAGTCTTACCAGTGACTTCTGTTTTTATTTCAGATTTCCAGCATCTGCAGTATTTTGCCTAATCATCGTAGGTAGGTTGTTCTCAATCAAACACTTATTTAAAACAAATTGTGATGTCTGTAGAACTGTCATCATGTGTAAGTCAAACTGCAGGTTACGTTGGCCAATCTATTGTCCCAACAATGTATAGATTTTTCTTCAAAGCTGATGTCTGACATATTTCAATATGTATATTTGAGAGGTGCTCATTTTCTGATGCTTAGATGGGTCAGAAATATTAATGGAGTTTTTTTGTAATTTGCCATATATTTGGTATCCCATTTTTTTTAATTCTCTGTTGCTTAAATGTTCTTTGCTATGCAGAATCACATTGTTTTTCTTTTTCGCGGTTCAATTCCTTGTGTGTAGAGAAACTAGTGACCGTGTCGTGTTTTTTTTTGAAAAAAAAGAAGTGTATTCGGGGTTTTATTTTCCTCTCCTGGTTTTAGGGTAATCTGTCGTAGCTATAAATCTTTTTTTCCTCCTCTGAGCTTGCGTGTTGTCAATACCAAAGCATTCAAATCTTCAGCTTGCTCAATGTTTGAGCAGAGCTGTCTGATTTACTGTATTGCTAACAGATTGTTCTAGTCAACGAAAGTGTTAGAATGTAAGATGCAGGTGGGTATATATGCAAACTGATGATGCATAAGCACAATAGGAGACTTGTGCCAATGTACCCTGTCTGGACAATGTGCAAGACTTCCACTAAAAGCTGCTATTTTTTCATTTACACTGTATTTTTTATCATTTTAACTTGTATTTTTACACGTGGATTTGAACCATATGTTGGATATGCAATAAACTGTTTACTGAACACTGTGGCCTGTTGACGGGACGAGCTAGTGTTTGTGGAGCTGTACTGATTTGGCATCTGTTAAGCACAATGTGCGCACAGCAGTACAGCGTTGCCATTTTATACACAGCAAGAATTCAGAATTTTTTCAAAATAAAGCGACTATATACTATGTTTATATGAAACTATCGATTGGATCAATCTTTGCTGTGCTGAAGTATCTTTGCTTACTGAAGTTGTACAATAAAACGCTTTTCCTATATAAAAAAAGGATTTTTTCCTGTTTGTCTCACATCCTGTTACTTGTATGTACAGTCTCTCTCTCCCCCCCTCCCCCCCCCCACAAACACACACACACACATTAAAAGTGAGATTACAAAGGATTTTTGTCGGCGGTTTTCTCAACTCCATAGATATGGCTACCGCTTTGTTTTCACAGTCTGGATAATTTTACCCGGAGGGTAATTATTGGCTGGAACAAGTTGCTGGAAAGGTCATTGAACCCTTAGCTCGACGCTATGATAAGGAGGATGGTGAGTTGGCGCATGGGGGGCTTCTGGAAATGAGCTTTCGAGTCTTTTTCATTTGAACCACTTGTGACATTTGGAGGCACTCGCCCTTTAAATCTGTGTTAAAGTGGAATCTGACACGTTAGGTGTGTACCTGACACATTGCAGAGGTTGCGTTATCAAACTTAATGCCTTTCAGTACACGTGGCTGGATATGCTGAGTGTTTGATCGATAGCAAAATATATATAAGTGTTGGGAGAGGGGGTGAGAGAACCAGAATTCAGATTTAATTCTGTTGGGAGAAAAAGAGGTGGAAGAAAAAAAAGATAGCAAGGAAAAGGGGGTTGACAAGGGAGCCCGGTGTACTCTGCTTTTATTCTGCCAGTCGATATAATTAATCTTTGCATTTGATATAGCGTCTTATCACGTCGTCGAGACGTTACAAAGCGCTTCGCAGGATACACACTGTATAGTGAGTGAGTGCATCTTGGGTGTGCGGGGAGAGAGGCTCAGGTGAGGACAAACGGGCAAGGGTTGTGGGATGCAGCTGGAACTCTGGTTGCTGCACAAAAACAAAACACGTTGTCTGTACAAACGTGGACAGTATGTCTGCATTCCTCACTCTCTTTTGACCATCAGGAAAATGCTCGCATTGTTTCCAGCCGGCAGATGTCCTGGCAATGGAGAAGGATTTGTGTGTGTGTGAGAGAGGGGGTGGGGGAGAGAAAGAGAGGTTTTATAACTTTTTGTCCCTGGCACAGCAATGTTTAAATCACCTGATTTGGGCTCGAGAGAAAAATGTAAATCTATAAATGTTGCCATGGGGATAAATTTGATATTTCAGCTGAATACTTTTGTGTTCCTGGGAAGGATGTGTGCACTCTCGCTGGAGACCGCTCACTTATTGGCTTTAAACGGCAGCTCTAGGGAGGAAGCAAATCCTCTTCTCATGTCACGTTTGGGCTATGAATTTGTAGTGTGTGTGTGTGTTCAGTGCATAAAGATCCTAAATGAAAGGCAGGTCTTGATCAGTTTGAAAGCATTGTGGCCATCCCTTTCGGCCTTGGGTTTCTGTTGCTCGTGACATTACTGTTGCAAAGAGAAGCTGCAACGCTCCAGATAACGCAGTAACCTTCAAGACCTATTTTGTACAAATTAGAAGCGCTGACAGCATCCCGAGAGGCAGCCTTGCTGTTCCCCTTGTGGTTGTGGTGTAAATGAAAGTTTTTTTTTGCCAGTTTGGCTCCAATATTCGGTAGCACGTGGGCACAATCCCTCTCTTCCTTCCCAAAAAGTACAATCCTTAATTCATTATGTGGATTTTTAGTTGAAGTTCGTTCCAATCAACACTGTCCCATCCCCCAACCCACCCGCCAGCCTGTTGGGGTGAGCATGAGAGAATCAATGCAATGATTTGGAAAAGAGGGAGTTTCTTTCTCGGGTGGGGATAATGTTCCGTTTCTAAACAGCAATGTACCCAGAACGACCGCTGTAAGCCTGGCTTATTCTCTCGCTTTGGGCTGAATTCAGGTGCAGCTGATACTCGTGATACACACCACAGGTCCTCAGCGAGTGGGTGTGCTGTAATCCGTGCGTTTGCTAAAGTGCCTTTCATGTCTGTAGCGCTTCACAGGATTTACTCTGCAGAGACTGCCCAGTGTAGTGAGAGCGTAGTTTTGTAGGACAACTCGGCAGCTGATTTACACATAGAAATGTGTACAGACAGCCATGAATGACCAGTTTTATCCGGTGGGTAAGGGAGTAAGACGGGATTCCTGGCTCTGGAATATTGCAGGCTGGGACGCGATGCTTTTAAACGTACAGTACGTGTGTGTCTGAGAGCTGCCTTTATCCCTGGCCCTGTGCTGCTGCCTGCTGGGCACTTGTTATCTTGCAGGAATCCCATTTATAAAAATATAATAATCTTTGCATTTGATATAGCGCCTTATCATGTTGTTGAGACGTCACAAAGCGCTTCACGGGATATAAAGCGGAGTGACTGTGTATTTTGTGTGAGAGTCGGGCACATGAATAACCTCTCAAAACAGGAACAGCCGACAGGCTCCCCCACTCACTGCCTCTCTCTCTCGCTCTGTCTCTCTCCGCACCACCATCAGACTGAATCCGCTGTTATCAGAGCATGAGCTCTCCAGACAATGATCTTGATTAGCCAGTTAATGCAACCCAGGACCCAGTCTAGGAGCAACACACCACTCACTACCCACTCTGTGTGTGTGTCTGTATGTTCTTTTTATATAATTGTGCTTAATGCACTTCCGATACCAGGGCCTGTTA